CAGCGACCCTATCGACAAAAGAACCAACTTCAGCAGCGCAAGCATGGCACCTAGCTACACTCAGGAGCAGTATGACAGAGAGTTTGCTATGCGGCTGGCTTTCTTTGGACCCAACCCCCGGAGAAATACGTGCAGTTCGTAAGGAGCCAGGTAGACGAGTACCTGGAGTTCATGGCAGATCCAGCCAAAGGTATCAGCCGCCCTATCCGGAGGCAGAGTGCGTTATGGGGACTCATAGGTGTACCCCAGGGAGCTAAAGGTGCCGTCCTTCCTCCCCAGCGGCAGTGTGTACCCCAGGGAGCAGAAGGTGTCGTCCTTCCTCCCCAGCGGCAGTGTGTACCCCAGGGAGCTGAAGGTGTCGCCCTTCCTCCCCAGCGGCAGTGTGTAACCCAGGGAGCTAAAGGTGCCGTCCTTCCTCCCCAGCGGCAGTGTGTGTACCCCAGGGAGCAGAAGGTGCCGGGCCCTCCCTCCCCAGCTGCAGGTGTCCCAGGAGCAGAAGGTGCAGTCCTTCCTCCCCAGCTGTGTGTGTGTATCACAGGAGCTGAAGGTGTCGTCCTTCCTCCCCAGCGCCGCGGTGTGTCCCAGGGAGCTGAAGGTGTCAGCCCTCCCTAGCTGCAGTGTGTACCCCAGGGTTGAAGGCAGTCCTTCCTCCCCAGCTGCAGTGTGTGTCCCAGGGAGCTGAAGGTGCCGTCCCCAGCGGCAGTGTGTATCCCAGGGAGCTGAAGGTACCGTCCTTCCTCCCCAGCGGCAGTGTGTATCCCAGGGAGCTGAAGGTACCGTCCTTCCTCCCCAGCGGCAGTGTGTATCCCAGGGAGCAGAAGGTGCCGTCCTTCCTCCCCAGCGGCAGTGTGTGTTCCAGGGAGCAGAAGGTGCCGTCCTTCCTCCCCAGCGGCAGTGTGTGTTCCAGGGAGCAGAAGGTGCCGTCCTTCCTCCCCAGCGGCAGTGTGTCCTGCAGGAAGCGGAGACAGTCGGTCTCGCTCCCCAGCAGCAGGACAATATATTAAAAGGGGAGACAGTTGGACCCCCTCTCCAACAGCAGAGAGTGTTCCAGGGAGAGGAACCAGTTATCACCTCTCCCCAGCAACAGGACGAATTATTGAAAGGGGAGACAGTCGGTCTCCCCCTTCAACAGCAGAGAGTGGGTCAGGGAGAGGAGCTTGTTATCCCCTCTCCCCAGCGGCTGAAAGTATGTATGGGAGAGGAGCTTGTTACACCCTCTCCCCAGCGGCAGCTTAGCCCACCAAGGGGAGACAGTGATCTCCACAACAGTGCAGATGGGACAGTAGTCGCTGCACATGCACCACCGGGGGTAGGGACAGTCGGTCCTGTCACCCAGCAGCAGGACTGTTTAGGCAAAGGGGAGACAGTCTGTCTTCTCCTCCAGCAACCAGGCTCCAACCAGACTGCTCCCATGGTAGTGCTGGCACCAGGACAGAGTACCGCTGGTCTCTGCCCACTCAGCAACCCACCCAGTCCGCTTACCAGTCACCCACACAGCCATGGTGAGGCGCCTGGACATGGACAACGTTCTCCTCTACCCAGGTGTAGTAACCAGTTCTTGTGGGTGGGCTGTATTACTGATTGTGTTTTGTGGGTGGCCTGCTGGACTAACAAGGGCACTGACCGGCATGAGGTCAGATACCCTGTTAGTCTGATTGGTAAAGGGGAGAAGTGTGGCGAAACCAACCTTGCCACTGTACACTGGAGAAGCCTGGTTGCTCGCCTGCTGCCTTTGGACTATAGCCCCATGTTAAAAGACATCTTTTTTCCTTGCAGAAAAGACTTATTCGTGCTTTTCTGCCGGGTGTTCGGTAGTTTTGTTTGACTGTGTTGTGCCCCAGATAGGAATCCCATGGAGCCTATTCGCATGAAACTGACTGTGTAAAGACTTTGGCTCCATGGCGATTAAACTGTATTCGTGTGGTCTGAGCGCCATTCGCTTAATAATGTGCGCTCAGACCTGAGCTATCTGGGGATATGTTACATGTCTGTGTTTTATGTAATAAATGTGACTTTATGTATTTTAAAGTGTTTTGTGTCTTTTTGCAACTATGTGCTTAATGGAGTCTTGTGTCTGTCCTGGGAGATAATTGAATTACTCTCCAGGATAGAAGACTCTGAAACTGGTTTGGGTCAGAAAGCCATGCTTCATTTAGTCACAAAGGACTTTTTACTAACTTTTGAACCCCTTGTCTGATTTGTGCCATTTTTTAATATGTTGCTCCCCTGAATGGATTGATTCCAAATATGTAATTTTATGTGAATGTGATGTATGGTTTTAGAGTTATGAAAGTTGGGTAGAAAGTATGTTTTAACTGTATGTGTAATTGAGTTTCCTCTCAGGATAAGGGGAGGGAATATGTGGGATGTAACTGTGATGTGATTGGTTATTTTATACCTCCCTGTGGGCGGTCCTGTATTTGAAAACACAGTAATAAAAACCAGGCTGGGTGTGCCAGCACCTCAGACCACTGCTTGACCCTCAACACGGAGCCTTGTCTCGTTCTTGGGGGGATTCACTGTATGCTGTTAGAGACTGATTGCCAGGAGTGTAAGCTGATTGTCTGCTTTTCCTGTTCGCCTGCTAGCAGCTATTTGGGAGGTTCCAGTTCGGGAGTTGGAGTGCTATTTTGTATCCAGTTCGGGAGTTTGGTGTTCTGCAGTAGCTGTGCCTGTATCTCTGGAAAGGGGGCCGATCGCCTAAACGGTTTTTACCCCTTGTGTGCAAAACGGTCCGTTACATATAGCAATCCCCAGAGTGTAGTTTCTCCAATCCCCCAAACATGAGCCGAAACTTCATGGAGGTACAAGATGATCTGCATACTGGCTTTTATGCAGGTCCCCATGCAAGGGGACATCCCACAGGGTGGGACACAGTACAACCAATCACACATGGTTACATCCCACACATCTCCTCCCCTTAGCCAATTATCAATACATTTTAAAACACACTTTTTACCCAACTTTCATAACTCC